AAAGAAAGAAGAGTTGGCTTTTGGGTTTAAAATCAGAGAAGCTTGTGGAGGGTGGGGTCTGAGAACGTTGGACATCTGACGCACAGGGGCCTTTGTGAGCAGTCCTTGGCGGGCTCCCAAGCCAGGCCACTTCAGGACAGCTTGCACATCTGCCGAGCTCCCTTGCCGTGAGGGTGAGTGCCCTCCTCAGTGGTGCGTGCCGGCCTCTCAGGGGCCGGGCCACACTGTATTCCCTGGCAGCCTCAGTGGACCCAGGCTGCTTCCGCTTGGGTGCCACGTGTGAGCCTACCTCTTCCTGGGAGAAACGGCATGTTCCACCTCCATTCAGTGGGAGCAGGGCCGTCCGTCTCCTGGGAATGTGGATTTCAGCTGTCCTTGCACTTCTGGAGTAGCCTGGTCAGAGCTCCCTCCCTCTTCAGAGCTGCATAGTACTCCACTGGAGAACAGCATCCGTGTGAGGCCTTCTCCACAGCCAGCCCAGCATCACGGTGCATTTGTGTTTTACTCCCCAAGCCCTGGAAGCTGCCCACCTGCTGCTGTCTGCAGGTGTTGAGAGCACATCTGGTGGTCTATTTTCCTATGACTCACTTTCGGGTGGGAAGCATCACCTAGAGCTACATCCCCCAAACTGAGTTGGACGAGAACCGAGTCAAATTCAAGGGTTAGGTTCAATGTTGACTCATGGAGCAATGACTCAGCTCTCGTCCAACTCAGTTTTGGACCAAAATCATGGAAAGAATTAAGTTTGTGAACTGAGGTGCCATTGTAAAAGGGAAAAATAACAGATTAAATAATCAGAGAATATAATCAGTGTTGTATGAGGCCCAACACTGAGAGAACAGGCAGCTGCACACATGCGTATTAAGGTGACGTGCACGTGTTACAAGTGTCCCCAGGCGGGCCACACTGAACACACTTCTAATGGGATATCACCCAGCACCCTGCCACCTCGCCCAGCCCACAGCGCGTCAGTGCCTCTGAGGAATCATGCACACCTAACAGGAGCTCCGTGTTCAGAAGCAGCCCGACACCATGCTCTGTGGCCTGGCTGCACAGGCACAGGCTTACTTCCAGACACAGGAAGCTGTGCCAGCCCCTGTCTGGGAGGAGGGAAGCGCCCCACTGCATTCCCGGGCCCATCTTCTTGGCCATCAGAGTCCCCCAGCCCTGTCCATTATTCCATGGAGAAGGAGGCACTCACAGTGCCGTGTCCATTCATGGAGGGACTTAACAGTTCCAATTTGGGGTTTTATTTCTGTACAAAGGCATCAAGCTCAGTGTTAAAGCTGTGTGTGTTTGATGTCTGAGGAAGTGAGGATTCTGGGGTTTCCATTAGATTTCTGGAATGCATCCCTGACTTGTGTCCAAACACCAGCTTTAATGTCCACAGCCCCAAGCCTGTCTGTAGAACAAACCTGTGTACCTTGCCCAGATGGGTCCTTTCACCAGGAGCCCTCACCAACTGCTCACCCAGCAGGCTCAGCTGCAGGGGGTATTCTTTCTCCATGGGGCACGCCGGCCCAAATGACCTCAGCTCCAGCTCAGTGGGACCAGTGTGGCAGGGGTCAGAAGACCCCAGAGGCACGGATGCTCCATCCACAGGGAAGGCGACCCAGCACCAGCAGAGGCACTGAGTCCTCTACAACTACAGAGACTCAAGGTGCAGAGGCCTGGGCATGGGTGTGCAGGGTGGGGAGGCACCTAACAGCAGGCGGCCGTGACATACCCCAAGCCCCAGGGGGCAGATTGGGCCTAGAAGCCTCAAGGTGAAGAAGTGTCCTATGGCCTGCAAAATGCTCTTAACTCTGGCATTTCCTGTTTGAGCTCAAGATGTTAAAGACCAAGTTCACGAGGAATGGGCAACAGAGGAGACACAGGCCAGCTGAAGGTCCCTGGTGAAGGAGGGCTGTGGAGGCTACCCTGGGCTCCTATGCCGAGCCAGACTCAGAACTCTTCCAGGCACCAGCCTGTGCTGCCCAACTCTGCCCAGGCTGCAAACCGACAGAAGAGCAGAGATGGGAAACGGAGTGCCTGCTGGGCAAGCGCTTCAAGGGGTGGTGAAGACAGCAAGGTCCCCACGACATGGCCAGCAGTGTGGCCATGCAGAGCGAGGCGGTGAGAGACCCCCACAGGGGAGCAGCAGGGAGCAGTCAGACTGGAAGCCTGAGCAGCAGGACAGGGCGCTGTCCATGAGCACTGCTCCTTCTGGGGACGGGCAGAGCCACGAGCTGGTGCAGGGCATCTGCGTGGCCGGTTGTCTGCCTCCCTGTCTGGAGATAACAGGAGGCTTCCTGGCTGGAGCTTATGGCGCCGACGCAGGGCATGTTGGCACCCATGCAGACGTGTACCTGGATGCACACACACATGCACAAGCACACGCTGATCCATGTGCCTCCCACTTGGGTCTGCTCTCATCCACTGCCCTGTGATGGACCCAGCTGATCTGTGGTTCCCAGCGTGCTGCAGAGGCCTGAGCTCTGCAGCCTCCTGAAGGATGGGAGGAGGACATAAAATAAGCTTTTTTTTTTTGGTATTGGAGATCAAACTCGGGTCCTTGTGCTTGCAAGGCAGGCACCGGAACCACTGAGCTAAATCCCTGGCCCAAATAAGCTTTAAACATGTACTAATCACACAGAGAAAGCAGCTTCCCCAGTACGTGCTTTCATGGCATGTGTGGAAGTTACCTAGGCCAGAGCCGGCATTCATGTAACATGTGAGCATCACAACAACACACGTGTGCTTATCTCCTGTGTGTGAATCAATCTCAGAAGCTCAGGTGACTCCTCAGATAGCGATCAGCTGCCACACCTTGGAAAGGGAGTCAGGAAAGATGACTTCCAGAGCTGCTGTAGGAAGGGTGAGCGGGGAGCTTCCTGTGTCTGAAGCCAGAGGGGTATGTGAGGAGACTGATGGCAGTGTGTCTTTTAATGTAACAGATTTTTTACATTTAAACATTCATGGTGTATTTTGATCACACCTTATGAGTGTTCAAAAGTTTGGCTCCGTCTTGTTTCTTGATACTTTGAAGTAGTCTTTATACGGTTTCGATGTTTCTTCAGTTTCACCTGGATATTTACCAGTTTCCCCTACTACTTTTCAATCTCCTTACCTTCTAGTTTCTATTTCATATATCATGAAGCACATCCTATAACTATTCCTTCATTAAAATGACTAGGTGGTGAAATCTACATACACCAGGTAACAAAGGACCGTGTTGTGGCTGGGGCCCAGGTCTCCCAGCAGCTTTGGTATTTGAGGTGGGATTCAGCTCAGAAAATATAAATTTTATTTCTGCCAGACATTTACCATGGTTATTTCATTGTTGAGTCTTTGATACTTTTCTTCATTTCTGAAAATTGTCATAATGATATATATACACTTTACAGTCATCCTGAGAATCAAATTCAGCTAGTAGTACAGGTTTCTCTTCTAGTTATCATCCTTGGCTATTGAACCATGATTCTAATTAACCATGTGTTTTAATTACATGTACGTACACACAACGTGGGGTGCAGATCAATCCACATAGACTAGCAGAGCTGGATGGCAGTGTGCTACCTCCTTGCCCTGGCCCAGGATCTCTCCACTGTCTCCCCAAGACTACACTCACAAGTTGGGAGGGTCACAATGTCCCGATGCCCTTCATCCTGTGTCCTTGGTCAGTCCCCACTCTCCTCCAAGTGCCAGACCCTCTGCAGTGGGCCAGGGACAGACAACTGGGTCCCTGCCCTGGAAGAGCTCACAGTATGGGCAGGCTAAGGTGAGGACATTGAGCCTGTAGAGTGGAGGGCTCATCACCACTATTGGCAGGGACCAGAGAAGCCTGTAGGAATTAGTAGCCAAGAACACCGTGGAACTCGGCCTTCTGCTGTGCCATTGCCCATCCT